TCATTTTCACCTCTTCAATAGCCACCACAATTTTTTCCAAATCTACAAGAAAATTAAAAAAAAAAATTATTGATGCAAAAACACTCACAAAAATACATATGTGATTAAATGTGATTAACAAATGAATCACATGCGATTCACATATGAATCACATTTACATATGACATCATATGTGAATTACATTTGATTTTCAAATGAATCACATGTGATTCATATGTGAATCACATGTCATTTACATGTGAATCACGTGTGATTTACAAGTGAATCACATGTGATTTACATGTGAATCACATGTGATTCATACTCTATGGTAGCACAACTTTTTGCATCCTTTGTTACTTTAATTTAAGGTATGTGAACACATACCTTAAAATTAATGAGACCAAAAACTCATAACAATTTGAAATCAGAAATCAATGATGGAACAGAAAATATCCCAAAGATTAATTAAAATATACATCTTTCCTCAATGTAAAATGACCAAAATCCAAAAGAAAATGACGGTTATACTTTGATGGGATATTCCACACTAGCATATCGAAATCGAGTTGTCCTTCGGAGATCAGGAATTCCATATCTCTCTCTCTGAAATCCTTCACCTGGATAATGTAATATTTGAGCCATACTTTTCGAGAATGATATGATCACTTTATAATATAAAACATTTAGGAAAGAAAGGATAGAAAAAATTTCAGTCTCTTGCCTCAGGCCGGACATCAATTAGTGCAACACTTTCTCTCCCTTTCAACAGCTCAAAAGCCAACTTTCGGGATAAGTCTCTAGCATAGGTCAGGATCCAGTAAGAATTCGTGTAACCATCTGAGGATACGTAAGCTTCCACCAGAGCATCAGCTGGTTTTCAAGAAAGAGGAAAAAAAGGACATCCATACCATAAAGTGGTTGATGTTCCAAGCAAAAGCACAAAAGGGACGATCGGATCACTAGGATAAATGCCAATAATTCTCTCAAATCCCTCTATGGAAACATAAACATGTTGAAAGGTTGTCCCAACAGGCTTCAAGATACCATATGCTTTATCTTCTAAAGAATTTAGCACATTTTGGAGCTCTGGATGGAGCATATCCTTGGCAGATGCATAAGCTTTGCAACCAGGTACCCCTGAAATCGACCATAAATCAAGACCTATAAATCATCCATAAACAGAGTCAAATAAAAGACAGAAACTAAGAGGAAGAAGTAAAGAAGAGAAAAATAGACCGCAGGGTATGTGATTGGTTAACTCGATAGAGGAGAGAAAAATCCACAGATGAATCGATTTTAGATTACCTTCAATGATTTAAGCCCTAACTTCTTGATATCATGACTAGAAAACCGATACGAAAGCTCTATCAACAATCGATTTTGAAGAACTGATTTTGTAGAAATCAATTCCCAGCAAGGCGTGTATTTGCGATCCATGAGCTTAATCGATTTTTATCGATTAATGATGAATTATCGATGGTTGACAGAGATGAGAGGGAGGCTAGAGGATCTTCGGCGAAGAGAATGGTAGGTCGATGTATGAGTGGTCTTCTACAGACGTATGGATGAAGGAGAAGAGACTGCACCTTCAATGGAGTCGAGATGATCGACAACAATGAATCCTAGACCGTGTTGGTCGTTGATATAGGTAGGGGTGGGCGTTGGAGGCGGAGGCGGAGGGAGGTGCCGATGGAATTAGGGAGGAGGTTGATGGAGTCAGTGAAGAATCGGGAAAAGGGAATGAGCGATAAAAAGAGACTAATTAGGGATCTGATATGATTATTTGGGGGATAATTTCTAAATCCCTAAAATGTCCTTATGTTATTTTTTTTAGATACCTTCCCATGTTTTTTTCCCATTTATTTACCAAAAGTGTCATAAAAGATCTTAGCTCTTAACTTATTTTAATTCAAAGGTCCACTTTTAGTTCTCAAGTTTTCGAGAAAACTATGAGTTCTCAAATGATTCTTTTATATATATATATATATATATATATATATATATATATATATATATATATATATATATATATATATATATATATATATATTCGTCTTGCTGTTCAAGAAAAGAAAAGAAAAAATAAATAAATAAATAACAAGTTTGCAAATATACCTGTGTTGGGCGAGATACTCACAGTTAAGGCATTGGAGAGACTAAAAATACAAATGGTCAACTTCAGATATATCGTCCGTTCAATATGCATGTACATCAAAACGACACACAAATAATGACAATGGTAGGGACAATATTTTATTTATTCAAATATTACAAAAAAATACATGGAATAAAATTTTAAATTTGAATGTTTTGTTCCATTAATTAGAATATTAACATTGGGGTCGATTGAATCCAAAATTTTGTTTTATTGGTCAAACTAATACAAAGTAACAAACCACAATTAAAACGCGAGGAACCTCCTTAGTTCAAAATAACATAAACAAAACCCTCCAAACGGTAGCATATATTATTGATTTGCAGCAGAAAGTTAAATAATAAGAATATAAGATTATATACAATGGAAATGTTTTGAATTTGAAACAAATATTCATTCAATTATGAGTACTAAATTAATTTGAATGTATAAATAATATATTTCACATTACTAAAAATAAATGTTGTTTTAAAAGACTCCTTAATTTTCTGAATAGAGGACCTTTAATGACTGCATATTTTGTTGATTTAAACAACTCATTAATTTTATGCCGTAATTATTTCACAATATTCTAAATTGATAGACAAAATCATACAAAGTTACAAACTTTGTCTTTTATATTCTTAAATTTAACTTTGATAATAATATTTGTTTATAATTTTCAACGTTATATATTTGATAGTACATATATAATTAACCATATCTTATTTTCATATAAGATAAGATAATTGTCTTTTTAAATTTTAAATACTTGTTAAATTAATAATTTGAAAACGAAAGAGTCCAATAAGTTTGGGATAAAGACAACTGTGTAAAGCTATCCACTAACAAAACAAAGGAAATAATCAACATCATCTCCATTTCCAACTCCTTGAGTTCTCCTTCGTTTGCACATAGACTCTCTCACACACAGTGAGTGTGAAAAACCCTTTTCACACACCAATCCATGAATCACAACATACAATCAAACAGTATATATACACACATATATGTATACATCGTGCCCCACACACTAACCAATAGCATCCGTCCTTCTTTTCTTCTATCTTGTCAATCATGAGTGCTGTTCCTCCTCAAATTCTCTATCTCGTTCCTCTTCTTCTCCTTGTTTTCATCTCTTCATCATCTGCAAGAACGTCTCCTTCTCTTGTTTCTCCACTTCATCATTCAAAATCTCTGAGAAAAACCGGACACCAACTCATCAAGGAGCTCAATTTGCATCCGCATCTTGATGTTAACATCGTGAAGTCATACACCAATTCATCTTATCTTGACGATGAAGTCAAAATCACCCAATCCGGGATTGTCGAAAAACAGTTATCTCTCCAGGTTCTTGGTGATTCTGGTGCCACTGTTCACGATCTTGCTCAACATGCTGGATATTATAAGATTGAACATACAGTTGATGCTCGGTATGTAATATTTTCATAACGTCTCTCAACGTTACATATATTTTGCGTTAAAAATGAACACTTTGTTGATTTAACAGCAGATTTAATGTGAAAATGCAGTCTTTAATTAACTGTGCATATTAAAAAACAACTCTTAACACCTCTATTCTTTATCTTATGGGTATCATGTAAATTATATAAAAATGAAAACTTTTGGACGACAAACTGAACCCACTCTTTGAAAATATCTTGATGATTAGATAAAAATGTTGGTAAATTGGGTGGGAAAATAGACTAGTTCTTTATTCTATTAGTAGGTATTCTTCTATAGAATCTTTTGATGATGTCAGCATCTAATGAGTGGTTGGTACTTTTCTTTAAACTTCGACATATTTGTTTAGGATGTTCTACTTTTTCTTCGAATCAAGATCAGCCAAAACTGACCCAGTGGTTATATGGCTAACTGGAGGACCAGGATGCAGCAGTGAACTGGCTCTCTTCTATGAAAATGGTCCCTTCAAAGTTACCAACAACTTGTCTCTTATCTGGAACGATTACGGCTGGGACAAGGTCTGTTGAATCCAAAAAAAAAAAAAAAAAAAAAAATCTCTAACATATCAAACCCTACAACCTTCATGTATATTAACAAGTTTCATGACAGGTTTCAAACTTGATATACGTTGATCAACCAACAGGAACTGGTTTTAGTTACAGTTCTAGTGATGAAGACATCCGCCATGATGAAACTGGAGTGAGCAACGATCTTTACTTCTTCTTGCAGGTTTGTTGATACATCCGTAATTCATTTCATTAAGAGAATCAGGTTTTGTAACGATTAGGATTAAATGATGTTGAAATTATGTAACGCACAGGCATTCTTTAAGGCGCATCCCGATTATGTCAACAACGACTTCTTCATCACTGGAGAATCATACGCTGGACATTACATTCCAGCTTTTGCAGCTCGAGTTAACCAGGGAAACAAGAACAAAGAAGGGATTCATATAAACTTGAAGGGATTTGGAATTGGCAATGGGCTTACTGATCCTGCAATACAGTATAAAGCCTACACTGATTTCGCTTTGGCTAATGATCTTATTTCCCAATCGGATTACAGCCAAATAAACCAACAAATCCCTGATTGTGAATCAGCAATCAAAGCTTGTGGTAAGCATAATTTCTTATTCTTGTATTCTTTTTTATAAGATTCATTACAAGCAAATAAGCCATTGTTTCTCCAGGCACAACGGGTACAACCTCATGCGAGATGGCATTGTATACTTGTCAGCAAATTTTCGAGGATATCCTGGATATTGCAGGCAATATAAATGTAAGAACAAACGATATATATTAGTTACCCAAAAAAACATGATTAATATATTAATTAACCTCGTGCGAAATCTTGGTCTTTATTTGCAGTACTATGATATTAGGAAGCAATGTCAAGGGAGCTTGTGCTATGATTTCTCGAACATGGAGGATTTTCTGACCCAATCATCAGTGAAAACAGCATTAGGAGTACCAAGCGACATAGATTTTGTTTCGTGTAGTGACACAGTGCATCAAGCTATGCTCGATGACTGGATGAGAGATCTTGAAGTTGGGATTCCAGCTCTATTGGAGCAGGGTATCGAAATGCTTATATATGCTGGAGAATACGATCTTATTTGCAATTGGGTTGGTAAGTTTTTGCTTTGATCATAACATAAAGAAATTAAATCATTAGTTGCACTGTTTATTGAGAAGAAAGTTATGAATTCTTGTAGGGAATTCAAGATGGGTTAATGACATGGCGTGGTCTGGTCAGAAAAATTTCGTAGCAGCAACGAATGTTTCGTTTGTTGTAGGGGGGAAAGAAGCTGGAGTTCTAAAGAACTATGGACCTCTTACATTCCTTAAGGTTCATGATGCTGGACATATGGTTCCAATGGATCAACCTATTGCTGCACTACAGATGCTACAACTCTGGACAACGGGCAAACTTACTAAGAAGGACACAACCATTCTACCATGATCGGGGTGTTTGTAAAGGAATTGAAGAAAAAGACATCAAACTATTGAAAGATTTTCCGTGTAATTGTCCAAAGTATTTTCTGTTTTTCTGCATATTGTGTTAGTGAAAGAAAATTTTACTTGTAATTAAACAGCAGTTTCCATTTGGAGTATTTATATACATGAAAAGAAACAAAAATGTTTGCATAGAACCATGTCGATTGTTGGTGAAAGGATTCTTAAGTATCTCAAACAGTAATAACATGTTCGCATGATTATCATGTTTACCAATCTTCTTCACTTTCACGTGAGTCTCAAAAGTGAAATGATAATGGAATGTTCATTGTTCGATCACTAATCTCAAACCAAACATATAGAACTCATGTTATCGCAAATTCTCAATACACAAGTGCTACCAAAGGGATTCTAGCCCGACGGTATCAGGTGTTTCCCTTCCTCCTTGAGGTTCAAGATTCAAGTCCCGGAACATAGTTAGAGTTAGGAGTAGATTAGATTTGTCATTCCAAAAAAACCAAGGTTTCACCTTGCCAAATCCCAAGATCACTTCGCAACTCATTGACCCACATAGCCTTCTTTTCCTTCCAACTCATGATCACATTACCAAGTGTAAACACATACACAACTCAATGAGTTCTCTGTGTCTGGTTCTGAAACATAGTCCGAACCAGAACATCCAGCCACTATACAATCTTAAAGCCTCCTTAGACAAGACCCACATTGAATGCGTCTTTCAAGTGCAATCATTTTTATCGCTTCCTTTTGTTCTCTGGTCAACTTCTTTTATGTTAAGTTTTAGTTTCATTATGCATATGTGTCTATTTTAGTATGATTAATTGAAAGTTTCTGTTTTTTCACTAGAATGTTTGTATTGCTCAAGCTTGGAGCATATTTGGAGCTTAACTGGAGTTGAAACGCCTGGGGAAGCTAGAAGTTGGAATGAAGCAACTTAGAATAAGTTGGAATGGTTGTGTTTCTTTGACACAGGCTGTGTTCCACTTACAAAGACTGTCAGGGAGAATTTCTAATTTTATTATTAAGTCTGAAAGTTGCAGCTGACAAACATGGTCTGACACCCAAGCACGGGCCGTGTTTCTCACCTGAGGTGTTCTTTTGATTCCCAAAGATTTTTTAGGGGTTACATGTTGCACATGTTGGTTCTATTTGCTCAAGAATTATCATAAAATGATATTGTCAATAACATATAATCCTATCTGGTCACACCAATAAGAAGTAGACATCAATGGCTTGAAGAACCAGAGAGATATGGATTTCTCATTGATGATTATTTTATTGGATTCTGATGAACCCATCAACTACCAGGATGTTATGTCAAATTCTAAATCTGGTAAATAGCTTAAAGCCATGAACACTGAGATGCAATCCATGTATGAAAAATAAGTATGGGACTTAGTTGATCTCCATCCAAATAGTAAGGCTCTAAGGAGTAAGTGGGTTTTCAAGAAGAGAACTGACATAGATGGAAATCTACACACATAAAAAGGTAGACTTGTGGTGAAAGGTTTCACTCAAACTCATGGTATCGACTATGAGGAAACATTATCTCCTGTGGCTATGATCAAGTCTATCATAATACTATTTTCCATAGCCGCATATTATAACTATGTGATATGGCAATGGATGTAAAAATGGCTTTCCTTAATTCACACTTTCTTAATTGAAGATGTCTATATGGTTCATCATGAGGGTTTGTCAATCCTAAGCAACATAATAAAGTGTTTAAGCTTAAAAGATTCATTGATGGATTAAAGCAAGCAACTCGAAGCCGGGATATTCATTTTAATGCGAAAATCAAAAAGTTTCGTTTTTCATTAGAAATGAAGATAGCCCTATGTTTACAAGAAAGCTAGTGGGAGCAATGTCACATTCCTAGTTTTGTATGTGGATGACATACTATTATTTAAGAATGTCATTCCCTCTTTAATAGGAGTTAAGGCAAGGTTTAAGAAATGTTTCTCAATGAAAGATTTGGGGTAAAGCCCCTTATATTCTTGGTATAAAGATCTATATAGATAGATTAATGTGACTTATAGGTTTAAGTCAAAGTCCATACATTGACTAGATCTTGAAAAGGTTCAATATACAAGACTCTAAGAGAGGATTCTTACCAATGGCACATGACACCATATTGAGCTTGTCTCAATGTGGCACATGACACAAGGGTTGAGCTAGACATAATGAATGGTATTCCATATGCTTCTATAATTGATGTACGACATGTTATGCATAATACCCGATGTATCATATGATTTGAGCATGACGAGTAGATACCAACAAATTCGGGAAAAGGTCACTGAATTGTTGTGAAGAACACTTTGAAGTACTATGAAGGACTAAAGATATGTTCCTCGTATATGGATGTTTGGAAGAAGATATTAGTGTAATCCACTACACTCACAATCTGGTTTTGTCTTCATTATGAATGGAGGGGCGGTTTACTAGATAAGTTCCAAGCAAAACATGGCCGTGCAATCTACTACATAGTCATAATTGATAATACATTGTTGCTTCGGAAGCAACACAAGAAGCAGCCTAGATGAAGAAGTTCACTGAAGATTTAGAGGTCATCCCTTCCATTCAGGACCCCTTAGAAATCTTTTGTAACAATAAGGGTTCCATCATGTTAGCTAAGGAACCCAAGTCACATAAAAGAACCAGGAACATCCAACAGAGATTCAATATATGGAGATATGACATTTTCATTAATATTTGTTGTCTTTTATATTAACATGTTTAATCCTTGAATAAACTAGTTAAAATGTCCAAAGTCGATCATAGTTGTGGGAGCAACTACAAAGTAAGATTAATATTAATTGGATTGGTTGAATTTCTTAAGATGAATTGGAAAGGGGTTGCAACTTGGGGAAAAGTATTGGACATGACCCATTTCAATATCACTTCATGGATCGTCGTCTTGAGCGACTCTTGAATAAAATAGTATATTTGTATCATTAGACCTAAGATGCATATTAGAGACTCGGGTATGGGGAGTATTGTACTTTGATACGGTTCAATGTTGTTCTTTGACCATGCAGTTATAAAGGCTATGATTAGGTACAATATGATCTACACAAGAGGCATATGTAGTCAAGATGGGATTTGTTCCACTTATGTGTTAAGTGTGAGACATCTAAGGCACTTGATTCAAAGTTAAACACCATGCTAGTGATCCATGTCTCATGTTTAACATGATGTCTGAAACAAAGGGACAACTAATATATCACCTAAGTACATCAATTGTAGTTATGAGCTTTTAAGAATTAGATGTTGTTGAATATAACTTCATCATGTGTTATTGACGGTATTGAAATATTTCTATATGTTCACCACCGACTATATCATTCTATAATGCAATCTTAAGCAAGTGGAAGATTATTGGTTTTGTATGCTCAATAATGATCATGAAATGATATTGCCAATAACACATGAGCCTAAAAGGGTCACATCATTAACAAGTAGACACCAATTAGATCATTTTAACTAGTGAATTTGATTTATGTTTAAATATCATGTCTCTTGTATTTATTATTTTGATTCATACTGTATGAATTAATTTAAGTGTGTTGCATTTATATCATTTAACGGTTAAATGCTTTAAATAAATTTGTGTAACTTTTATTTATTTTAATGGTTAAAATAAATAATATATATATGGAGATATATTAATTATAAAAGTTATTTCTAAACATAAAAGGAGTTTATATTTTATAAAAGGAGTTTATATTTTATAAAGGAAGTTTATAAAATATAAGAGAGTGTGTGTAGGACGCACTTGGACCAAGTGTCACTCCTCATTTCTCTTTCCTCTCCTAATTTCGTTCATCACCACTTGGATGGTCCAATGATGTGGTCTTGATCCTTAGCACTCACCATTTAATGCATGGTGTTGTTTCCTAGTTAATTATTGCCTTGCATGCATCTTGTATGAAACAAAGAGTAAATATAAGTAAAAAAAGGTTTTCACTCTGTTTGGTACTCTTGCCTTGGACGAAATGATTGACACTCTATATTTTCTCTAATAGTTAGTTAAATAAACGCACTCTCTTAAATACCAAATTCATATTTGGTGCTTCACGATTAAGAGCTTGTATTTGCAAGAATCAGACTAGCATTCGGTGGTGTTGGAGCCTGTAGTAGACTTTCTTTAGAGGACCTCAACTTCGAGTTCTTGCCATCTTCACCAACTTTCAACCTCCCACGAGGACCAAAGACTTTAAAGTTTGTTGTTCTTATAACCCTTTATGGTTTCTTTTATCTTGTATGTTCATGTAAAGTGATCCTTGGTGGAATATAAAATTGTTTTATCTTGTTTAAGTTTTTAAAAGGCTTCCGTTGAAAATTTCTTATTTATGAGTTTTTGAAACCTAAACTTGAACAAATTCCCCTCAGTTCCTAGAAAACATGGTTCGTGTTCCGAAACATGGTTGTGTTTCATGCCCGTGTCCCGAAAAAAGTCTCGAAATAGCATCGTACTTTATTTAAACCTATATGGATCATACTAGCCTCCAAACACGGGCCATGTTTCCCAATCACGGGTCATCTTTGGTGTTTATGTAACACTCATAAAAATTTCACCTGTTTAAAACTTTTTAATTCATTCAAAAGCCATTAAGTTCATACATCTTGTTTTCAAAATAGTTTAAACATCAGAGTATCCCCAGAACCATATCACATAAATCATAAAACATGAGGAGTGGTACGATCACGCCTTCGCCTTGCCACGATCTCCTGAAGTACCTGAAACATAACACTACAGCTGTAAGCCCGAAAGCTTAGTGAGTTACCCCCAAAATACCAACCACATATAACCATACACATATCATATCACAATACAGAACAGTCATGCATATCGAGTCTACATTGTGACTGGTCCGCCCGCACCGGGCCTTCAGTCCACCTGGTCCACTCTCCGAGTCTAAACATGTATACCGAGTCTACATTGTGATTGGTCCGCCCGCACCGGGCCTTCAATCCACCTGGTCCACTCTCTGAGTCTACAGTATGACTGGTCCGCCCGCACCGGGCCTTCAGTCGGCCTGGTCCACTCTCCGAGCCTCGGCACATCTGGGCCGCCCTCTCAGGGCCTTCAGCCTATCCGGACCGCTCGCTGGGCCTTCGG